AGGTTGGCCGGCGTTCCGGATCCGGGTTTACGGCGAGGGGATTTTTAATAAAGGATCCTTGCGTCTCTTGGTGCGGTTAATATCGCGAAAGGACGTTTCCGGAGAGGCGGGATTAAAGGATACTCTACGAGCAGGGAAGTCCGCGCAAAGTCGGGCCCGGATCCTGGGGGTGGCGGTTTAAGGGCGTCTCCTCCTGGAGGAGCCGCGGGTCCTGCGGGATCCGCAGGTCCTGCAGGATCCTCCGGATGGCGCGGGCACATAGTTCGGGTTATACGAGCGCCCCGGAGAATCGGGGCTTTTAGCTCGGAATGGCAAACGTTAACTCTGTAGCGGGCATTATGCGCACCGCTCTGTGGTCGTATAACCCGTTTTAATACGCCCGACACTCGGTAGATGCGTACACCCCGGTGTACGCACCAACAGCTACGGACGCACACGTACGAAGGACAAACCGAGGCCCGGTTGCGTAGAATAAATCAACTGACAATGAGAATTTCAGTTCGCCCCTCGTTACGCCCGCACTAATGAAGCGCCCCTCGCGAGTAGGAGCAAACCGCAACCTTTCCGCGGAATCGACGAACGGAGGTTTCCCGCCGGGAAATTTTTCCTCCCCGAGGAGAGTTAAAGCCCCGAGAAGGAGAGCCCGTTTGATTCCCGAGAATTAGCGTGACTGTAACCTCGGAGAAAAAGGGGCCGGGGAAAGCATTTCCCGGGGAAACGTCGAAGTTCGGCTCCCCCGTTTTCTCTCTTTTTCCCGCCCAGCCTGCCAGACCCATAAAGCAATGAAAAAGCACCGAGAGCCGTCACAGAGGCGAAAATTAAAACTCGCCGAGAGTTTATAAATATAAACCGCAAACGGCCGGGGGACCGTAAAGGCGCTCCGCGTTTTTGCGGCTTAAAAATTAGCGATATTTTTTACGAACCTCGGGGCGAGGGTTTCGAAAATGGCCACCACCCCTAAAGGGCTTCCGACGACCGGACAGGGTGGGCAAACATCGAATGATGACGGTACGGAATAAAAAAAATATTGCGCGGACATCGAGACGTAAATTTAAAATTGTCAAGAAATATATTAATATCAATTTGCATGAAATCTAGTCGGAAGCCCTTGTGGCGCGAGCTCGTTAATCGGTGCTCCTTTTCCCCGCTTTTTCCATTAATCGGCGATCGCAATTTCTCGTAATTAAAAAACCTCAAGGGGCGTAAAAACGGGATTGACTTTTTTCCTCCCGATCCGAAGTAAAGTAAACCTCGAAACGCAGACTCAAAGTTTGCGCTCGCCGACCGAAACGACACCCGGCGAAAAAACTATAATCTAAAACGCTCTTTATCGAGAGTGTCTCTCCTTTCTCCTCTAAAACGTTCAATTCAATGGACGAAGAGCGTCGATGGCTCTCGAGGTTCAATCGCGCCCGTCGTCGAAAAGGCAGCACCGCGGCTTCCATCCCTCCCTTATTTCCATCCCCATTCGCCGCCCTCCCTTTGTGCCCCCTCCCGCAATTATAAAAACCGAGTACACATAGATCGCGGAAACTCGGAGAGACACGAGAGCCCGTGGAAGGAGTGACCCCGCAATAAAGACAGAAACTGAGCAACTTTTCCCCTTTCCACCCCTTTGTCGAGGGTGGCCTTTCTCGGGAGTTTTCGATCTTCCGAAAGTCGGCTCCACGCCGTAATTGGCGGCGTAATCGACCCGAAGGACCGTCCGAGAGGGAAAGTAATAAAAAATGGAGCAGGATCTCCCTTTTCCGACGCGACTTTGGCAAAGAGCGGCGGCGGTTTCCTCCCGTGGCGTCGGGACGCCCTCTTTTGCGCCAATTCCCCCGGCCAATCGACGCTTTGTCTTTGGTCCTCTCTCCAATTTGCACGTTAACGCCTCTTGGATCGCCTTTTCCCTTCTTTCGCTTCACTTTCTGCCCCCGGTCGCTCCTTCTCGCCTTCGAGGAGCGGAACAAACGCTGCGGGGCCGCACTTCCGGAAATGGAGAAATAAAGTGACCCGATAAATAAATGAGATAGGAAATACGTAGAAAGGGGGAGAACGGATATTCTTCGCGGGGACTTTATTATTTTTCCTTCGTTCATCCTTCCACGGGAAAGAAAAAAATAAACAAGGGGAGTCGCGCAAAGCAGTTTAGGAATTCAACCTACCCCCGACGCACCCTTAAACCACCCCCTGGTGGGTGAACGCGCGTAAACGCGTGTCAACGACGCGTTTAACACCCCGGTTCAATGGCGCGATGTAAAACGTAGGGGTGAAACGAGTGTTTCTCCCTAACCTACTCCTCCACCCTTTTCCACCCCCTCCCAGCGTGTCGCCTCTTTCCCACGCCTTCGCGTGGAAGAGGTAAGAGCTCGTCGACCTTATAATTAACTAAAAGCTCAAAATCACAACTTTTAGGATATAAAATATACTAAAATAGGAATATTTTTTTAACAGTACATTTATCGTCTATCCTTCCCAGCCCTTTATACACTATTTGGCGATTCGAGCAATCGCGAGCAAACGCATGTTTAATACCCTTGTCCGGGTGAAACGTCAAGTCGGGGGTGGATTTTCCTCCGGGGGGGTACATCCCCCAGCCCCACCGGTGCTCCTGATGGCTTTAAAAGTAACCGACCCGTGTGCCAGACCAAACGGGAAAACTTGGTCCCGGTCCCGAGGAACTCGGTGGGTTCGAGCCCCTCGGCCTGGAGAACAAATAGAGAAGTGAAAATGCCGCCCTTCCTCCCGTTCCTCCCTCGGTTTATATTCCGGCCGCGTAGCCGGCAATACGCGCGCGAACGTGTAGCATCCACTCCGTGGATCTGGGTCCTGAGAGCAAGCCCGAGAGCAACCCTTAGCGCAACCCCTAGAGCAACCCCAGGAGTGCCCAAGAGCGACAGAGAAGGGTTGAGAAAAAATGGCCGACTTTAGCGTCGACCCCACGTCGACGGCCCTTTGCCTTTCGCGAAGGGCGAAGGGAGAAAATCCTCCCTTCCGACCGATTCCCTCGTAAAACATGAAAATCCTAAACGGAGGTGCGTAAAACATGCGGCCGAATTCACCCCTGGGCGATAAAACTGGATCCCTACTTATTAACAACGATAAGAAATTATTCTTATCTCGCTTGAGGATTTTTTAAATCCATGACGAGGAGAAGGAGAGAATATCGGGAGCGGAAAAAATCAGATCTCGAATTTAAGGTGTCATTACTGCCGAGGAATGCCCTGCAATGTGAAATAATGATAGGAGATCATTCTTAATTGGTTAAACAAATTTCCAAGGAAATTCTAAGTGGCTACGATGAGGTATGAATTTCTACATTTGGGAGAGAAAAGTCGTGGGGCTCCGATTTTCCAGGATTCTTTTTAATCTAATTGTCAGTCCGATCACAGCAGGACCAAAATGGCGGCGTCTTCGACAAGCGGAGAACCGTATCGCAATCTCCGCCTCAAGGGGGACAATCGAAGTCGCGAGACGCGAAGCGTCGCCTTATTCAGGTCGAGCGTCCGGACGGCATCTTCCCCGCTTCGTAGTGAATGCGCTTTGTGGGATCCTCGCAAACAGCGCTTTAAACCACAAAGGGGCAACACGGGGGGTGCGGCAGTGATAGGAAACCGATACGCGATCTCCACCGGCTGATAAACTGCCATCCCGCGGCACGTGTACCCCAACCTCCCCCCGACGTTATTGCGAGACAAGCAACCCTTGGGGGGACCTCGATTCCCTCGGACGCGTCCCCTGCATCGGGAGGAAGGGGTCTCAAGGGGGCGAATCGCCCCACGGCAGGCGATGGGGGTCTGTGGGGGGTATCTATCGACGTGATGAGAAGATGCGCCGTGATAAAGTGTTTTTCAAACGGAGAGAAGAGCGCGCCGTGTCTTCGGACTCAGGGTGGTTTCAACCCCTTATCGGCTTGATCAATTCCGTCCGACAAATGTTATCAAGAACCAAAGTTTCATTATGTTTCTGGGTAATCGTGTCCCATTTCTGGGTTGCTGGGGTATCGGGGGTGGAAACGACCTCTTTTGGAGGTAGCTTCCCCCCGTAACCTGGGAGAAAGCATCCCTTCCCTTTTTATCGGATCTCTTCCTGGGGCTATCGAGTCCCAGTGACCTCGGGGTGGGTTTCGACGCTCCCGGGGGTGCAGCCACCACCTTTGGGGTGGCCGCAGGGCTCGGGTGCCTTGCACACCTCATAAAGTACGATTAAGCCGCATAAAGAATAAATCCACGCCGTGGACCCGCCTATCGTATCAACCCCCTGGTGCACAAAGGCTGGCCGGCACGCTTCCCGGTTATTTCGGTCAATCCCGGGGGATAGGGTAGGTCGCCCGGAAAATATTCCCATCGATCCGACGACGACCTCGCGCCGGCAAAGCAGATCCCCGCCGGGGTCGGAGGTCGCGGCCGGCCTTCAAAGTGCCCTTTCGGCCCGGCCCGAGGGGTGATTTTCCGCCGCCTCGGGGAAAGGAAAAAAAGGAGCGGGCGATAAAACCCCCGAAAAACACGGCGAAAGGGCGCACCGATAACCCATAAATACGGACGCCGATGCGTCCAGGAATTTTGCGTTCCAGCTACAGCCGGAAAATTCATGGACGCTCCGGGGCCACCGATTACGTCGCCCCGAATGGCAGACACGTGGGGAAAAATGATTTCCCGAACGAGGGGTGGAATTCCTCGAAAGGGAATCGCCGCAGTTGCGGACACTACTCCACAAATGGCTCTGCATCCTCGGATAGACAGGAGGGATGACAAAATTCCGGGAAAAACTCAGAAAAATCGGGATTTCACCCCTCTAGAAATGACTTCTCAACCGAGGGGTGGAATTCTAAAAAATAGAAACGCCGAAGTTTTCATGGTACACCCTGGATCCTATAATGGGGTTATAAAATGCGAAAAAAAATTGCTATAGCCGAAGTATCGAAATATCTGAAGTATCGATCGGGTGGAATTAATTTAAAAAAGGTAAATTCTGGAAAAAATAATGATTAACCTAAACAATTTTTCCAATTTCAGAGCCCAGCACCGAGATCGTCGGTGGTCCGGATCTCTACATCGACAGGGGCAGCACGATCAACCTCACCTGTGTCGTTCTCCACAGTCCGGAGCCCCCGGCGTACATTCTGTGGAACCACAATAACACGGTGGGTGCTGATATTTTGTAAACTCGATCGATCAGGGTTGATAAGAGCGATAGTCGAGGGATACCGTTTCGCGAATCGTCAGTTTTGGATCATCCAGGAAAGAAATTCGGCCGGTGCGTGTCGACGGGTCGTCCATTGACTCTAGGTCAGGGGTCGGGGGGCGCACCCCTCCGAAAGTAGGGCCGCCCTTGATAGCGGTCGGCGGGGCTAACTGCCCCCTGTCATACAAGAATTCGAGATAGTCCCGAAATGTTTCCGGCTCCCTCGAAATTACAGTCGGCATTTGCATTTCAGCTCCGAATCGAGCCGAACTATTCGGCCTTCCACCTTTCCCCGTCCACCACCGCCCCTAACTTAACATACCCTCGCAACCTCCATATGTGACCCAAAAATTAATTCCAACTCGAAATTCTCCCTTCTAAGGTGTCTTCCTAATTATTCCATGATATCTCTTATCACCCACTCTATCGCTCGGTTTCAATCTACTCCTCCCTCGGAACCCCCAAAAATGAGCTGAAAATTAATTCCTACTCCGAGTTCTCCCTTCCAAGGAATTCTCCCGCTTATTCCATGATATCCTTTATCGCTCGTTCTATCACTCGATGTCACCCCATCGCTCTCCCCGAACCTCGAAAAGTGGGCCAGAAATTAATTACGACTAAAAATTCTCCGTTAAAAATTCTCCCTTCCAAGTCCTCCAAATTACACCCCGTACCTCTTATCGCTAATTTTCTCCCCCAAGTTGACTCGATTAATTCGAACCTCGCGTCTCGGGTGTAAGGATATGTTAATTAATAATCGTCAGGATGAGCTCGCGTGTCGCGTGGATTTTTCACGGGCGCGACGAGCTCGTGTTATCCACGGGCCGATAATACACGGCTCGCGCGGGCGTGTAGCGTTATCGGCAGGCCGTAGGTCTCCATTCGGGGTGACATGCCCTCTCTCGGTGCGTGTATACACCCAGGTCGACATGTAGCCGGCGAACTGCCACCTGGGACACGCTTATCGCCTTCGCGGACGCGCTCTCTCCGCTCGCTTCGGATCGCGTTCGCGTCCCGACATAACCTACGAACGATCCAATCGACTGCGAGGCGAGGAGGACCGAGTCACTTTACGACCTCGCCTCAACTTTTTTACGCACCCTACGCGCAGAGGGTACAAGTTCTGCCAGGATCCGGCCTCCCCGTCCCCACATATCCCCGCCACCCAAAGAATTTGTACATACAAGAAAGGTATCCCAGGTGTACTTCACCGATTTTCTTTACCTTTGTTGTAGAACATTGAAAATTAAGAGACACGTATTTTTTTATACGCGTCGATTCGCGAGTTTAAGGGGTGAGAACCACCCTTGCCGTCCCTCCGCTCAAAAAATTTGAACCGACAAAATCGCAGAGGTACACCTGGAATGCTTTCCTCGTTAGACAGAAAAATTAAATTCTTCCTGAATAAAAAAAATATATAATTCCCCTCGTTGCAATTATTCGAGTACGACGATCGCCCGAAGGTAGCTCGTTACATGAGTGTCCTCGGTGGAAATTACTCCGGTAATTCGGATCCCGCAATTTTTTCCCTGAACAAAAGTTGCAGATCATAGAGAGGAACCCTTGAGACCGCCTTTCGGGGGAGGAAAAATTTGGAGGATCGGGAAAGAGGGGTAATACGAGGTCGTAGAATCGGACAGGCGCGGGTCCAGGAGGTGGAAGGGGAGGACGAAAATTATCCGCTTCCGGTCGGGAATGTCCTTTAAAAAGGATCCGGGGGTGGAAATCCTGCTCGTGGAGGAGGGTACACGCGGAGTCCGGGAACGGGTCACAAAGTGTCCCTCTTTGAAGAGACCTCGGCGACCTGGTCTTGGACGAGGAAAGTTCCTGTCTTCTGGCTGGCGACCGCGGATCCTCCCCTGACGGGTTCCCGAGGGATATGGGGTCGCCGATAGCTGCTCCTCGATTTCAGGAGTCCCGTGGCCTTATTAGTCGGCCCGATCCGGAAAGGCGTTACCGACCTACCCCAAGTGCAGCATCCCTCGGGGTTAGAGTTGATAAGGAGCGTGGAACGCGAGGTCCATCCTACGTGGTGGGGATTTCTACCCCCAGGGGTGAGTTCCTCCGATAGTCCGAGGACTTCGTCCGGGTGCATTCATTGTGCGGATCCCGTGGGAGCGTGGGAACTACTTGGAGCTGGGTCTTCCTGGTCCAGGATCATCATCCAGATTTTTCAGTTGCTTCCGAGTTTCCTTTAGAGCTTCGCACGGAGCTTTCTCAAACACGACTTAAAGTCTCCTGGTGGTCGGATTTATGAGATAAAGTGGACACTTCTTTTTTTTACGCCGTTCCCATAAGAGCGGGAAGAACCTTTGCAGATGTGATCTGGGATCCACGATATGAAGGATCTTGGAAAATCGATATCCTGGGTCGTTTGCAGGACAAATCTTGCTCATCTAGTCGAGACTCGGATATCGGACCGTTAAATTCCGCGGGTGGATTTTTCCTTCTGATATCTCTCCTTTATTTTGTGGAACTTCCGGGGGCAGTCCGAGCACTTCCGCTTTCACGGTCGCTTCCGCCGCGATAAAGGGTGCACACCGCCACGCAATTAGGCGAATTTTAAGCGAGCCACATTCTCGCCCCCGCCCTATTTATTCGGCCCGGCTGGAGGGTGGCCAAGGACCGAGCTTGCCAAATTAGCCCGACGCGAGATTATGCCCCTCGCGAGATTATCTCTCGCCCTCTCCCCATAAACGCGGGGGGGATACTAATTGTACCCGACGACAGGGTCGTAACAGTACTTTTCCGCGTCCCCCGTGCGATTATTTCACCGAATTCTCTCCGCCCGGGTACATTAGATTTTACACTCCCGCCCCAAAAATGGCCCGACTCGCCGGATATTAACGTCCCCGAAGAGTCCCTCCTTTCCATCCCCGCTCCTTTATGGGACGCTTTCTCATTAGTAATTAGCAAATTATGCGCCGTTCCCCGGGAAACGGGAAAAGGAAAAGCCCGCGCTCCCCGCTGGAATTTACATTTCTTCGAGGAGAGGGTCCCGTCCTCGAGGAATTTTTCCGAAACCCATCAAAGTTTCAGCCGGTAGAAAATATGCTTATCGTTATCAAATGTAGACCTTGATAACGCCTAGATGGACTTTCGTGACATTTAATCACGCGCCTTTTGACATTTTTTCCCAGCTTATCAAAATTTCCTCCGTTACGAGATACCCTTATCTTCGAGTCCTTCTGAAGAGTCCTTTTTATAACACCTGGCTGGATTTAATTATATGCGAAACGGCCGTGCCGACCGGAGCTATCATCACCCCGTTAATTCTGCGGTCTTGTCACCGTGACAGCGGAGAGAGACAGCGAAAGGGAGAAAGGGAGAGAGGTGAAAGTGTCGGCGACTCTCGTTGCGTGGCAGGGGGGGCATGGGGTGCATTCGGGGGCATTGGGGGCATTCGGGGGCATTTGGGGGTATTTGGGGGTAGGTCGCCGCAGCGACGCAGCGCAAGGGCGGACTGTGGTGGCCGCAACCGCCCTGTTTGCCGATCCCATTGAAACGGCGACCGAGCTCGCGGACTTTTACAAATATTTGAGTATTTGAGGACGAGCGCCCGGCAAGACCCCGGACGCACCCGGGACATGTCCGAAAACCCCTCCATCCGGAACCCCGGCAGACAGGTGCCGTCTTTTTTTTTTTCCCCGTACTCGTTACAGCCCCCGTTCCAAGTGGTACCGATGACCAAAGGGTGGAACCCCAACCATGCTCGGGGATGAAAAAATCAACCCCTCGTTTAAAGGCCGAGGGAAAAAGCCCTACATAAATCGCCACGTGCCCGGAAAGTGAAACCTCGACATCAGCCAGAATTCCCCGGCATCATTAATCACTTTTAATCATTCTCCGAAAGAAACGCCCCCACGCCTTCGGTACCGATTACTTCTCCCCGTTCATTTCTATTTCCTCGATCGTGCCATTTTTCTTTTCCCTTAACCATTCATTGAGAGAAAAATGAAATTTACGCAGATTGCGTCGTTGCGATTAAGAGGTTCGACTTCGAAACTTCCGCGCCCAAAATCCGCGACCGTTCCTCGCGTGGGGGGTGGTTCCCCCCGGCCCCCCCGCGACTTTTCGCGATTAGTATCGTCGCGTTCGCCGTTAACGAGCCATTCGCTCGATAAGTGGAGCAGGCCATTTATTTTCGTCCCTCCCGAGAGGCTTCGGCTGGTAATGAACCACAAGAGAGCGGGGCAATTCCGCCCAGCAAAGGTACCGATCTTATCCGCGAAACCGCATTTGTTCGCCCTACTTCGCGCTCTCGTTCCGCGATGTGCGCGTGACCCTCCCCCAGGAGGACGGGGGTGAAGTGCGGCCGCTGAACCGCCGGAGGTACTTCGGGGGTAGTTCTCCCCCGGCGAGACCTTTCCGGTCCCGGAGTTAGCCAAACAGATGAGATGGACCCGGTGTCTTGTTCCCCCCAATGCCCCCGAGGAACGCCGCTTTGTACACCTTTGGAAAAGTTCCCCGAGAGAGTCGCGACACAACGGCTATCGGTCGCCATTGAACGAACCAAGGGTACATCGGAAAATAGCAAAATTTCTTCCGGGGGCGACCGGAACCGACCTGAGACGTGCCCCCCACCTCACTTTGGAAGACCCTATATACGCTGAGATAAAAGACTAACCCACGAAATGTTTCTCTGATTCACGGTCGATGTGAAACTTGATCTTTTCATTAAAATGCTTCACTTGAAAAATGTCCAAGAACTGTTTGTGATTAAAAAAAAAAAAGTCATTCGTGGCCCGATTCGGTTTTAATTCTCGGCAGCCTCGGATTGCACGTCCGCGGTCGCCATTACGGTCCGCGGGATTTGCCGGGGGGGTGGGACCGGAAATTGAAATTAAAATTGAGATTGAAGTTTCCCGGGAAGGTCCACCACGTGGCCTGCAGGAAAAATATTTTCCAGGCCGTGAAAAAGGGTGATTCCACGGTGATTAACTGCCCGCGAGACGAATGCGGAATGAATTCCGCGGATCTATAGAGTCGGGGGCCTTATTTGAAAATGTACTCGGGGGTGTAGTGCCCCGTGTGTCGACCGGGGCTCACCCTTGGAAAACTTCCTCGAGAGGGTCGCGACACAATGGCGATCGATCTCCAATAGGCCACCCAAAGGTGCACTCGGAGGCACAGAGATTTCCTTCGGGAACAAACCCTCGACAGGCTTAAGATGTAAACGCTTGTCGATTTCCTCGTCGGTTATCGGAGATACGTCTCGAGCGAAACTTGAAAAAAGAGGGAGGAGGACCGCGAAAGTGCCTTGGCATTAAATTATCTCGTCTAACTAGAATGATAAATTATTTAAAATCATGATCCAGGGGTAAAAAACGCTTCTATGGGTACGTCGAAGTCGGGTGGTTAGCTGGAATAAATACGAGAGGGTGGAAACAAAGGCACACGACATGGATCCTTCGTGGTTGAAATGTCCGCAATTTGCAAGGTAAATAAGGGGGAATTTATGGACATCGCGCGAGTATGTATATTTATACACGCACGTGTGCATGTACGTAGATATATATGTATATGGAGATACATAGAGAATATGTCTCCCAGTCCTCCTCTTCTTGGGGGGAAACAATGGAAAACGGGAGGTAGAAACAGTCAGAAAAGCCCAAGAGAGGGGACAGATAAAGTCCGCGATCTTACCTACATAAACAGCTTTCCGAACCAGCGTAATCTTTATTTCGCCGATTTGCATATAAATTACTATTCGCTTTTGCAACGTGCCGGCACTGGGGCGCTCGGCGATATATATGCAGGCCGCGTCGCGCACTAAATCGAGCAACCGCGCGGCCTTTCCGCGGCGGAAACAACTCGGGGGTCCTTGTTGCGAGGAGATACGCCACGTGGGAATTAACCCAGGATCCTCCTTTCCGAGTGTTCCCGTCTTCCAGGACGCTTTAATCCCTCCCGGCGACCGCATTTACTTTTCATTTCGAGCCCCCGGTCCCACTTCCACGCGCCCCCTTCCTTTCCCCGGATTCCTTATCGAACCGCGAGAGATACGGGAAAACGCGTCCTACGAAACAAGTAAAGCAGAGAATGGAGAGTAATTTAGGTCCTTAGGGATTTTTCCCTATCTGGCATCGTTAAGCTCGAAAGCCGAGTTCCGCCATCGGGGACGCCGGAGGACGCCGAGACGCCCTCTTCTTGCGCCGGCGAGGAGCAATTCGCTCGAGAACGCGCGACGGGCCGAAATTCGGCTTGCGTCCTCGGTAATTATCTTAATCAGTGAGGAATCGGGTAAATGGGAGAAACAGGGTGCTCCAGAAGTCGCCGGCAGGTAACGGGCTTTCGGGGCGCAAAACTTGGGAATAACGAGCTGGCACTCTCGGCGCTCCGGCGTTTAGGGAGGAATTTAGCAATCCAAATGAGGGGTGCCCAGGGCCGGTGGGCGAGGGGCAAAGAGGCGTGGAGAACATGGGTCGCGAAAGAGGAAAGAGGGACCATGGGGCCGGCTATAAGGGTCCTGGTCACAATGAGATGGAGATAGAAGAGCTGCCGCGACCGGGCGAGAAGGCGAAGCCGATAAGGATGGCCCTTCGGCGTCTCCCCGCGGAGAACCATTTCCAGGGGAAGCTCTCTTGGAGGATGTCCTTGTGTTTTTTCTATTCTCACGTTTCCTTCCTTAGTCGTTTCCTTACTATTTCTATCCCCTCTCGAGGTCCCAATTTCTCCATCAAAGGGCAACTTCGATACTTTGGTATCGAAGAATCCTAAACCTCCCATGGAAACGTACCTTGGCGGAATACTCGATTACCCGTAGACCAAAGAAACCGTGTTTCGAAGAAGTACGAATAAACGAATAATTTTCTCGAGACGTTTCTCAGTTCCTTTCTGCCCCATTCCCGGTTCCCATTGTGCCTTTGACTCCCATGCCGCGAACGGCCCGATGCCCCCACGTGGGCCATTGTCTCGACGACGAGTCCTCCCGTTTCGACATCACCGGAGAAAAGATTCCGCTCGCGGAAGAACGAGGGCCGAGCTCGTAATCATCGCCCCGGTAAACACGGTTTTAACGAGGACCACCGACCGGTGTAAACGCGGAGAGCGTTGACGAGGTACATATTTGTCTCGCCGGATGCAGGCCACAATGCACTCGCCTCTGCAGCGGCGTCCCCGAGTGTCACTTCCGCATTCGATTGTGGTGCATTCAAAGAAATCGATTAAAGTCCTACTCCAAGAATGTTGGAAAAATCTCGACGAACGAGACGGTAGATAAAAACCTGGGAGATAGGAAAATGAAGTCGCGAGACGTAATCCGTCGATCGGGTTTAAGGACTTTTTAATTTTCATTAATTCTTCCCTCCAAGATTCCTGGAAGAAGTCGATGCACCGATGCACCGATGCACCCGAAGAGATCTTCCCGACGAGCGCCCGGACGGCGGTCTTACTTATCGGGATGAACTTCAACTTTTCCCATCAAATTAATTAAAGATTAAGTCCCGAGTCCTGGCCAGAGGGAAGCAAGTCGAGGGAGGAGCCGATCCCGATCCCTCGGGAAGAGGGATCGCGAGGTGGCCCGGAAGTACGCGTGTATACCCGATAGGCGATTAATCTGGCCGATGGCCGACTGCATCCGACTGCAGTCTGCTCCTTGCATCGGCTTCTTGCATAAGCCGGCCTCCCGACAAACAAGGGGTGGAGGGAACTTGAAATCGGTCGGGAGAAACTCGAGATTCGCCTCGGCGACGAATTCGAGGCGTCTTTCCGAATGCGAGAGTAAAAGCTCCTGGATGCTCTCATTTATTTATTAATCTCCTTTCCGGAAGAGGGTGTCGTAATTCTAACGAGGTCGGTCGAAGACTCATCCCGGAAATTGGGACTAATCCCAGAATTAATGAATTAGGAAAAGAGAGGTCAGAAAGGATCGAATTAAGGAACGGTAATCGCGAAACAGTCCCTAAAAGGGAAACCATACTTATGCAACTCCAGCGCTCGGATAATTATTGAATAATTATAGCACCGTTTTGTCCGTTTTTATAGGTCTTGAGGAAAGATCCCGAGGGACTTATGAGACTCCCTTGAATTTTTCTTTTAACTCCCGACCCTTAGCGGGAACACCGATATGAATTATACGTTACGAGGGGACGTTACGAGAAAAGTGTCGCCGTTTGAGACGAGATCCCGGGATCTCTCCCGGAAACGTCGAACCATCCCGAGGGATTACGCGAGCCGAGGTCGTCCCACGAACCCCGACCTGAAATCCCGCGTTACGACGCGTATGCTAATTTTTTCCCACGCGACTCACGGAAACCGCGACCGCCGTCGAATTACGACTGCAGAAAGGGAGGATTCCCGAGGGATTTCCGGTTTCCGTCCGCGAGTCCAGCTAAACGAGCCATTATGAGCTAACTCGATTTCATCCCCTTCCTCGATGTTTCGTCGCGCGATTAATAAGATGTGAAAGAACAAATCCTTTTTTAAATTGAAATTTCATAGATGTCTTTTAAATCGCTCCTCGATGGCGCGTCCGACCTGTTCGCCATTTTCGGACGAGAGCCTCGAAAATTTACAAACGGGACGTTAATGTTACCTCATTCGGGGTTGCACCCTCGGAAGTGCAAATGCTCTCGGAAATTCGTAGGGCAGGGAGGCGGCCGATTACGAGGCTGAATATTATTTCTTATCAAGGGAAGCGAGCCAAAGAGGAAAATTAATCCCAAGGATCCTTTCCAAATTATCCCAGAGATCCTGGAAAATTGAAAACGCCCTTTCCCATCGATAAGAGCCTTCCTCGATACGAAGCCCGCGAGATCGCGAGGACGTGCCTCTCGCGCTTTCGCGTCGATTAAAGTTCCCTCGAAGAATGCCTTCCACCTTGAGGGTAACATTGGTCGACTTTTGCTTCCAGATAATTAATTTCGACTCCAGCAGAGGTGGAGTGTCGGTGGTGACCGAGAAGGGCGACAACACCACCAGCTCCTTGCTCGTGCAGCAGGCTAGGCCCTCGGACTCGGGTCGCTACACTTGCAACCCCAGCAGCGCCCAGCCCAAATCGATCACCGTACACGTACTCAACGGTGAGTAAATCGTCATTCCAAGATCCTGGAATCCACCGATTCGTCAAAAAAAAAAAATGTGTAAATGTCATTTCGATGCATATGAAATGACCCTTTCGTAACACCTCGACCGATTTCAGACGCCCCGCCAGAGATCGCAACTCTCGATTTCGCGCAAACGTAATCGTCGGTACACCTCGGGTATTGCGCGCACTCGTCGAGTCACGCGATCTAGGTGGCTCTTCCCTGTAATTACGGTTTTCCACGTACGAGAGGATTGCGCGATACGTAGAGGGTTCTCCATTACGAGTGATGGTCGTCCAGAATTTTTGAGAATTTTTTGCCTAGTCTTGGATCGGAGAATATCGCTGGAAATCGTTGGACATCACCGAAAAATTGTCACGATTTTAAGGACTAACGTCCCTTGTAGCTGTTGATCGCATGAAATCAGAAGCAATTGGTTCTTAAAGAACCGAAAGATCGTGGAGACTCGTGATAAGGGGTCATACGAAATTAGAGACAAGAGGGAAAAGGGGCAGAAGAACGGGGTAAAGAAAGCTACCCGGTTCCGGGCTTCGCCAAGACGTCGGGCGGCAACCTTTTCGGAAAATTTAAGTGTCGTCCTTTGTTTCAGGAGAGTATCCCGCGGCAATGCAGCACGGAGGCCAAGCCAAGCAGCCGAGGCTCTATTCGCTTCTGCTCTGTCTGTGTCTACTGCTCTACTAGTTAAGTCACGCGAGGGCCTCGTCTCTTTCTATCTCTCAGTCGCCATTCGGTGTCGCGGAAGAAAAGGAAGAAGAAAAAAAAAAGAAAAGGAACTTTTTGTAAAGGAGGCGGTGATCCTGTATAGACTTAAGTAGCGGGTCTAGGCGAGACAATGGACGTTGCCGCGAATCACGGCGACCACGAGGAGTCCCGAAAAAGAGGAGTCGAAGAAGAGCATCCATTCTAAATGGCGGCTTCGTCAACCGACACCGCGGAGCTGTCAAAAACCACGTGGAAGGGACGCGCACCAGGACTCAACCAAAATAAGAAAAAGAGTGGAAATTGAATCCCTCGCCAGAAGAAAAATTAAAATCAACCTGTGGGAGTGGTTAATCCCCCGAGAGATTAAAAAAAAAATCAAATACCGCGCATATCTTCCAAGAGCTGCCGAAAGTAAGAGATATAGATCTAACTGAGGAGGAATTTTTTGCACCGAGCGAGGATTTTTAAACCTTTTTTTTTTTTGTAGGTTATAGGAAAACCACGTGGATTTCGTTGTTGGTACTTTTCTACCGAGGGAGGGGTATCCAGGGACGGTGGAAATTATCCCCCGATAAATTTCCCGGCGCGTTTTTCCCCCTTTTATCGGCAAGTCGAAGTTTCGCCGGTATCGGCGCATCATTGTTTGCCGGAGACGCGTGAACGCGCAACCCTTTATTACCGTAACAATGGCGGCCCCGATAGAGAGTGCGCCGCACCGACTCCGAGGCATTGTGCAATTGCGCGTGCCCTGCTCGGCAAAAATGCACCCGATGGGAAGATTATTCTAATGCAGTGGGTCGTACGCGTCCTGGAGGTATTGCGGAGGAAACGCGGTGGAAAAATTCGTCAGAGCTGGCGCGAATCTGCCGAAGCGGTTCGACTTTCGGGGCCGCCGAAGGAGGCCGCGCGGCGCGTCCCGAATCTCCTGGAGTTCCAGTTTTTCCGAAAAAACGATCCCCCGTGGGCTGAGTGTCGAGACGCGATAGTAATCTGCCGAAAAGCGGAGGGGGCGAGGGGGGAACGGCGACACGGTCGATGATTAATCGGGTCCAAAGAACCCGGACGATTACGGGGCATATTGCCGGCAAGATGGCGGCCGCCGCGTTCCAGTTCCACGGTCGCGCTTTATATCTCCCGGTGTCCTGGCGGCGTTTGTGTGCCAGCCGAAGCCTTAATAACATTAATTCAATGCCCATACGAATATCGAGCGGTTCTTTATCAACGGCGGGACACGCACCGAAAATAAACAGCCGTCCCCCCCGCGGTCTTGCCGCAATTTCCGGGGCCGCCTCGCGAGGCTTTCTAGGAATTTTCATGGGCTTTTTAGCCCCGTTCGCCGGGGCCGTTTGCACGAACGGACCTTCGTGACCGCTTGAAAATGTAAAAGGCTAAAAGAAAATGCGAGCATCGACTCCAGCCAGGACGGATTTCCGTATCAACGAGTACCGATTCGCGGACCCTCGACGCGCGGGACCGAAATGGCGGATCCGAAAGCACTCGGGAAAGAGATTAGGAGAAAGTCGCCAAATGCGTGATAGTTAAATCGTACCCCAGGTGTTTTATTGTCAGTAAAAATTTCTGACATCGAGTATTAGGTGTTTACACGGAGTGTTATATGTCACGGATAACAACAACGAAATGAAGAGTATGACGTGTCGCGAAAAATTAATTAAATGCTGACGGGAGAGGATTTAGGGTATCTAGTACGTATTTGGTAACTTTCTCCCACCACACGACCGGAGGACGGTTTCTACCCCGTCTCGATTCTTCATTCTACCTCGTTTATTGTTCGGCTCGCTTTTCGAGGCCCCGAAACTCGATCCGGAATGTCAGACCGAGTGCATTCGGGCAAATATTTTCCGCCCTCTGTATCCGCGCCAAAAGGAATCGGAATTCGCCGGCTAACTCGCTTTTAACTTTGCTAGGGATTTTCAGGGAGGTTTCCGGTCCTCTTGGGGGGTCGTATTCGTGACTTTGAACGAGGCCACACCCTCGCGACTGGACGCAAAACGTCGATTATGCGCCGCGACGGCCGCGTTCGCGGTCTCCAAAATGGCGGCGCGCACCCCTTGCCGGGGAAGAAAATTACTTTTGGGTGTAAAAGGAATGGCCGGGACGAAAAAAAAAAATCAGGAACCGCTGCAGAGGACTTGTGCTCGACGCACTCGCGGGCGTAAACTTGTTTTCCATATTCGCGGGATCATAAATAAAATGGAAAACCTCGGCGCGACAAACATGGCATGACGCGCGATTGGCCGGCGAATGTTCAATAGCCTCCGCTCTCTGTTTTGGCAGCGTTCCGATATTTGCCGAGAGAGCACTGCCAGCCCTCGGTGCAGTAATTACTGACTCGATTCGTGCAGAAATCGGAACTTCTGCTACAAACACTGCAGAGATGAAACGTCCCCGAGCGCCAACCGATGGATTTCTCCCAGCTCCGTGATAGCCTTTATTTAGAAACTAATCCGCCAATTTTCCGTCGCCCAGAAATGTCAACGTCAATCGAGCGCGTTCTCCACATTAATTTCCCAATCGTCGTTCGTCGAATACGGCAGACCCGCGAGCGCCTTGAGCCTTCCCTCGTATTTCCGTAATTACGGGGAGAAAATCGAGGAAAAGGGAAGAAAATTAACTCCCTGGGAGGAAATTTCAACGTTTCGGGGAAACTCATCGTTGCCCCGCGTTGATAAACATCCCGAGGCAAATGTACGAACGCATAATTGTGGCCCGATGGGTACTGCGAATTTGTAATAAGTAGAGCGTAAAATCCGCGAATTCGTAAAATTGCTGGCTGGTTCGGCTAGAATTTTGAGGAGTAATTCGATGACCGTTAATGAAAATTAAACCCGGCCAAATGAAAACCGCGAATTTTCAATGAGGAAGGCGTAAAACTCGGCTTTCGTAAAATCGCCAACCGGTTAGGCTCGCATTTCGAGGAGTAATTCGATGACCGTAATGAAAATTGAACGCGGCCCCCGATTCGGCCGCCATTTCCGGAGACCTCGATGACTGCCGATACACACCGGGGATTTCCTGAAATCCCTGCAGGAAATTTCTCCCCGAATCTGGGCGGGAGTAATTGCTGGCAACGTTCTGTCATTTATTTCAGCACGCGGGGCCGAGCTGACGGTGAATATCGGGACGCGGAACCAGCGAGCCAACGAACCGAGAAAAATTCCATTTACTCCTCGACCCTGCGCCTTTTATCGAAATTCAGGATCCGCGGAGGAGAGGCTCGCCGCGCCCCTTTTTCCCATTAATTCTTTTCCCCTTTCGCCGTTCCTCCGTACATTTCGCATCTTAGATTCGGTATCGATGCCGGCTCGCTTCGAGCCCCTCGACTTTTCCGCGTCCAACGACGCAGGCATTACTGCCTGTCAGACGTGCGTTTTACAGGGCATACGTGCCATCGCACCCGCTCTGTCGGTGGGTGCATCGTGGAAAAATTTAACGACCTTTATGTACTCGCGCGATTTCCTCTCTCGCGAGCGCTCCCACTTGTTAACGATCGCGGTGGCCTCCCATGAATGGGAACGCGATGGAAAGTGTCACATCCGAGTCACACCTCCCGGCCTATTAAATGAATTACCCCGAATCGACGATGCTTCACTGCTATAAGGAAAAAAATATTCCAAATTACCCCTGACCTAATGAACACCGTTTCCCTCCCTCGCGAGGTATCCTCGAAAAGCAGACCAGGAATGTTCGTGAAAATTTTTGCGAAAAAAATACGCGAGGTTATTCTTTCAAATTTTTCGGAAAAACCCTCCAGGCTATTCGTCCAAATTTTTCAACGAACACAGGCAGCTCTGGCCAGTCTCTCTGCATAGTTTTCGCTTAACATCGGCCTCGAGTTTCGATTTGACCAATGGTCGAGTTCGATGGCCCAATCGCCAGTTAAACTAAAACTTGAAGCGCGAGTTCCGTTCCCAAGCAAAGGCGCCGTAACGACCCCCCAGGAAACCCGCAAAACCGAAATCGCCCTTTGCACGACGTCCCGACGTGTAAATCGTGCGACGTCACAAGTTTCATATTTTGAAGCGTTCCGAGGACCTCGAAACATTTTTTTAAAAATTTGATATACGTGAAAAAAAAATGATTTCCCTCCCGACACATGAACTCCAGTGATATTGGATTGACCAAAAAACCCCGCGACACTCGCGTAACGATTTCAACGTTTATTTTTATTCATCGAATCCCAGCTTCGATGACACATTCTCCATCTCTATCTGTGATCTATGCCCATCGATCAAGCAGCTTCGCGACGCCTCTCTGCATATTTTCCTCGGATTTAGAAATGAATGTATAAAGTGTCGCTTTTTTGGCCAATCCGATGAAACCGCACCGACAGAGCTGCAATTTAGACTTTTCTAAAAAATATTCCGTATCGACGTGGGACTTCACCTCCGCAAGTATCGTTTATCTCGAGGATTAAGGAAGACCTCCAGGTGATGGAATCATCCCTGGCGAGGATCGTGGAATTCGAGGAATTCAAGAAATTCCTGCGTTTCTGATCAGTCGAGCCAGTCGATGCGCGGCCGCGAGTTCTCTTCCTAGGGGATTCCTAAGGCGAATCCCCCTCGTTTCCGGGAGCGAGACTAATTCTAAGCAGCTTCGAGTCCATTAATTTGTACGATTAACACACTAACGATAAGTAGGGTACCGTATCACCTGAGGCACGACTTAATCTTCGCGCCCTCTCGCGAGCTGCGCATTATCGGACGATCATTTCGAGTCATCATCGCCGCGAAAGGCAGAACGCGATATCGAGAAAACCGAAAAAAAGACTCACCAAGAAAAAAACCAAGAGAAAAATCCGCAAAGCGAATCCGCGTTCCCACCGAAAGGACGAATGCGCGATGCAAGACTGAACAACGCTCCCTCCGGTCAGTGTCGGTTTTTTTTTTTCCTCGGAAAAAAAAAGGTGAATAATAAAATAACTAGGTAAACAAATGAGGCATCGCTCTCGGGAGGCGAGGACGAAGCGAAAGAAAAAAACGAAAAAAAAAATAAGTGAAAGAAGAAAGGAAGAAATAGCGAAATCCAAAATCCACCGAAGGGCTTCGACTTCGAGCGGCTCCGTGGCAGAAGAACCGCGACTAGAGAGACTCTCCCGCACCTCTTGAATGTACATATGTATTTAATGCGGTTTAGTTGTTTAGTTGTTCTCGACAATATTGAATAAAAAAAAAAAGAAGAAGAAGAAGAGGAGAGAGGGCGTAACGGGGCAAGAGGGCGAGATCCGCGGTGGCGATTGTCGTTATTTACCGTGCTTCTTTTTTACACGATACGCGATATCTAACCAACACTCTGACCAACGGAACGACGTGACGCGAGACGCGGGGTGCGATCCGCACACCGGAGAGCACGATCTTAGGGTGTAATATACAAGTTATATAATTATATACATATACGGATAATTACGGATATCGAGACCTAAAGAGTGGCGGCGTGTAATATATACATAATGTAACGAGACCGGGACGGTAGTCGACGGAGGAAAGAAGATGGCGGAAATGGGAAAACGGCGGGCAAAGGGGATATCGAGCGTAACGATTAAATGTACCACTTGCGGCGTACGCATTACACGTACTTGCGCCATGTTACCGTATACCGCGTTTTAATGTAACCGTAACGTACGATCTAGTCAGTGTACAATTATTGTGAATTCGCCGTGTCGCGGGTGCACTCGGAGGGCCGCCACCCGGCCGTATCTCCCCGTTTCGCGACTCCGGGAGAACTGGGACCTCGGCTGCTGCCACGAGGAAAGAACCTCGGTACTTCGGAATCCCGCCGATTTCGCGAGAAGGAAAAATCCTTCGAGATAGGACAGAAAGAGAGAGAGAGAGAGAGAGAGAGACGAAGACGACCTGGACATAGACTTCGAAGATAGCGTCGCATACGTCGGATACCGAAGGAGAAATGGCATTTCGCAGTCTTCTCCAAAGAAAGAGTGGAGAAAAAAGTCAAAGTGGAAACTTGGCGTAACTTCTCGATGCTTCGGGTATCGGGTCGTCCAACAAGTACCTGGGATTTTTAGCGTTCAAAATTTGACTCTTCGCTTGCAAATACTCTTTCTACCCTGTGACCATGTTAGGTGACATTTCAAAGCGCAGACTTGGTCCTACATTTTGCTAACAATAATTGTGTATAAATATTGATTTTTCTTCATCAACGATACGAATGGGTTTCGTTACGTCAAGATTTCGTTCGACCGAGGGGTTAGAGGAGAAGGGTCTAAATTTACCGAAACACAGGGAGGGAGGGCGATCGTTCTCGGCAGGGGGTCGAATCGAATCCATTCCTCTCGGTTTTGGAGCCAAGGTTAGCCGACATTAGCCAAATTACCGAGGGTGCCTCCACCCCGTTTCGCGGAGGCTCCCCTCGAGCCGATACGAAGCACGAGTCCGATTTTAAAAGCGCCATTTCTACGACTAAAGCGATCCCTCGGCCCGGGAGTCGGCGAATCGAAGACCTCCAGGGGGTGATTTGAAATATACGGGGGTGAATTTTGCGTCGATGGGTGCATGATAAATAGGCGAAGTTTCGCCACGCCGACGCCCGGCCTTAAAGCCCGATTTACATTCGAATGCACCCCTTCGAATTTGGAAAAAAAAAAGGGGTGGATGCATAATTCACGCGTGTGTTTGCAGCCCCCATGGTGGGCAGACAGGGGTGCAGGCGCACCTGGGGGGGTGGCGGATCACCCCGGGGCAAAAAAGAGCCGGTCGCGTTACGGTAATGACAAAAAATGTACACTACGAGGGGAGATGGAATTAGTGCGCACCCCCGGGGGATTTATTGGATCGATTTGTCGCGTCCCGATTCCGCGGCCGCCGCCCTATCTAGGCGGAGGTCTCGTTATCGGGGAGGAAACGATCACGGAACGGAGGGTGTCTTCGGGGTGGGGAACACCTTCACGAGGCGACGAGGAAAGAGGGCGGGCTGCGAATCGGCGTTCGCCCCTGGAAAAGGAAACCTGCGACAGACAGGAGAAATCAAGCGACGTCTGGATGGGCTTCAACAAAAAGGGGTAGAAAATATTTTATACTATTATCCTGGGGTGGGTTGACCCGTTCAAACGCCATAACCGTCAACGAGCTTTCCGTTTACCCCGCCACGATCACCGGTGATCGACCCGCGATACATGTTTTAATAAAATGAAATTTACGCGAGGTGAGCGGACAGTCTGGTGGAAATACGCATGGTACCGAATGCATTAACCGATCGCAGGATGTGTGCGACGAAGTCACAAAATTTATTCCTGGCGAAATATCTTGGTCCTCCGTCGCGGCGGAGTGGGAACCTCCCCTAGGAAAATCCCCAGTCCCGGGGGAAAAGCGTCGCCAAGTGCCGGGTATTTTCCCCTAGACTTGGCAGCTGCGGAACATGGGTTCTCCTGCGACTGCCGAAATCGGGGCCCCTCTTCTTGGGAAAATTCCAGGAATCGATGTCGTGCACCCTTCCTGGAGGTGTCCGGGAATCGAACGCCTGAGAAGGTCGGATGCTCGCACGGGAACCGCGGACTCGCGATCTCGATTCCCGGCTGGACGATTCCTGGAGAGGGAAGGACGATCCCTCGCCGCCGGACTAATTTCGAAAAGGGAGACAACCTCTTCGAGGTGTCTTCGGGGGGTGCGCTTTCATCCCTGTTGCGAGTCGTCCAGCGGAATCGAGCGCATTGTAAATACTACTCGACGACGTCATCCTCGAGGCGCGAGGATGAGTACCTAATTAATGATTAAGGGTCCTAGCGATGTAAGGTCATGAGACGCGACGCCATTAACGCTGTTGATAATACATGGACTTGTATGCGACGCCGACGACTCGTCGTGGCTTTTCACGTCACCCCGTCGTCGGGTCCTCGAACAAGGCGAGGAGTCATCTTCGCGACACCCAACCACACGGAAACACACACACACACGATACACACGTCGGGCTCGCATTCCTACATACGTTCTGTCCCCGACCTATCTTTCGTTTCACGCCTAGCGTGTAGATAGGTTAATGTACCGTTAAGTGTTTCGTCTAGCCTACTATGTATATTGTAACTATACTCATAAATAAATGATCAACCGAGGAAGGAAATATGTCATTACCCAAGATGGCCCAGAAGAGCCCAGACGCCTCCGGCGGGACCAAGATGACAGCGCGACCACGTGAGTCATAGCTATACCCTTAAGGCGACATGAAAGTGGCGTCAGAAGTCTCCTTTATGAAACTTCTCCAAACATGAAATGAAATGAAATTCCAATTCCTTTAAAATTTATTTAGACATTTAAAAAATTTTCTGTAAACAATGAAATTTCATGGGCGACTGGACCTTTCTTATAGCCTCCATATTCGCGTTGTAAAATTTGAAATGATTCGGTATGCCCAGTTTGAAAGAGAATTTCATGAACTATTGAGCCCTCGGATGGCACTTTCCCATCCCCTTTGAATGAATTTAATTAATAATCCGCGTTACGGCCACTTGACTCGGTATATTAATTCCAATTCACCGTAAACGTTTATGGCTCGATGTCGGACATCGAAGTTCCTTATCGGGGCACCGCGGAATTACGTAAAATGCATTTAAATCGGCGCAACGTCCACCCCGACCGGCGTCCGTTCCGCGCTGTCGAAACGGCGACCAGGCGGAATTAAAAGAGCGGAAACGCTTCGTTCCGGTGACGGAGGCCGTGACGAATTAAATCGCGTCCCTAGCCGGTTGACTGTTATTAATGAGCCTCTCGCCGTTAACTCCGAGATTAGATCTCCGCCGGCAGAACAACCCCTGGAGAGAGGGCCCCGGGAACCATGCATTTAACTGCATCGCACGCACCATGCACAATAAGCCGCGGAGAGGCGGATGCATTCTGACGTAAAATCGCTCCTGGACACGACACGCGCCCGTTTTACCCTCGGGAAAGGACCAACGGCCCCTGGAACTCGGCCACTTCTGCAACCCCCTGGACCGAGGATTTTTGCATCCCTGCATCTCGCATCCGATGCAATTTCTTTCCTATCCCCAATTCTCGTCCCACACAAATATTCCCCCGCAATACGTGTATAATATTAATAACGAGATGCAGGATATTGAATTAAATTAAATTGAAAAATTAGAGATAATCCGCTAATTGTATTATTTCCGGCATTGCGCGTGAAATGCAATATTTAAACAGGCCACTACGAGTGCATTTAAAATGAGTACGACCCACCGACATTCGACTACCCCGGTACATAATTCGGGCAGAATCTCAACAATGACGCGAATGACGATTGATCGACATCGTCAGAATTTCAAGTCCCATCGCTCATATTGGAGTACCTTGTGTCTCTATTGATATCCCCGAAATTAAAGTAAAGACTCCGTTGAAACGATCGAAACACCGAATGTGACGTATAAAACCCACGTCCGGGTAAATGGATTTAAATGCACGCGTGGGTGCGTCACGGAATGGGAGCAATATCGGCTGCGCGGAATGACGCGTGCTCGAGGCTCGCCCCCTCGAATAATGGCGACAAGTGTGCACGCACTCGGCCCAGATTCCGGGGGGTGTAATTCCGAAAACGAAAACAGTGTCAGAGGGTCAAAAGGAAGGGTGCGTCGGGTCAGGAGGCCCCCTGAAGGAGAGGGAAGGGGCACGAGAGGGAGGGGTGTCCTCCCTTATATATTCCGGCCGTAGGTGGCGGATATACGAGGGAGAGCCTGGCGCAGCGCGCGCTTTCGTGGTATTGATTACAGCCTCCTATCCAGGTGCACAAGCAGGGTCAAATCTCTCCCTCTCGGTCCCTCCCGTAGCGTCCTCCCGCGCGCGGTCTCTCTCTTCCACCCTTCCGCGGCCTCTCGGCCCGAGCCACCCCTGGCGCTCCCTCCACCTGCAGCTCACCCCTCCATCGGCAACAACCTGCTACCCTGCAATGCCCCTCCACCCCCTGCGCCCCGCTCACCTCGCCGAGTCTCGTTACACGGGGTGCTCTTCGACGTGGATTACCATCCGTCGCGAGGAAACGGTAAATTAGTATTATTGAAAAAAAAAAAAAAAATGAAATGCCACGAATTAATCGCGGATTACGAATAGAAAAAGGCCACCGCGCGCCTTTGAAATGGAATTTCCTTTCCTTTCCATTTTTATATCGCGATCGATATTAATAATTGAATAAATCATCTAGATGCTACGTCTTTTCCCGGATGAACTTGCCCGCGAGAAGTTTCACTTCACCCGCGTGATCAAAAATGGCAATAAATAATTTCCAGGGGCTCGATGAATTAATCCTCGGTTAGTTATTTATGGCGTTGATTGCGCAATCGGTTCCTCTTTCCCGGGGGGAATTTCTCCCTCCCCGGGGGATGAAATCGCGAGCCCGTGATTCGGGCTGCTGGAGGGAAACCCCCTGTCCGGAGCTGCTGCCTGCTCGGAAGACGTGCACCGCCTCCCGGGCACGCGATTTCACCTCGAATTTGCCATGTTGCTTAACCCAGTTACGCGAAAGTTGGGCAGGTGCAGGTGCAGAGGTCGACGGATTAATCGCCGGTCTCGATGAACGGCTCCTCGGTCGCGATTCCCGGCGAGCGCCCTTTCCCCATCCGAAATGAACGCCCGACTAAATGGAGGATTAGCCCCGAGAATTCGTTTCCGCTCGATAATATTCCGAGAGGTGCATATCGAACCGTATTCGATATGCAACTCGGTCTGGCATTGGAGGGGCCCTTCGGGAGCCAACGATGCAACGCCCGGCGTACCCGTAAAATCGCACAATTCCGGAAATTCTCGGCCTCGTTGTTTCGCCGGAAAAAAAAAAATTCATTCCCTTCCCCGCGGGGTTATAATAATTTCGCGAAACTTCAAAAAGGAACATTAATCTCCCATGAGTGGAAAAAGAGGGTTCCAGGGGTCCTGAATTTTGGCTGGGAAATTTTCATTTCCCGAATTCGGCAAGAATCAATTCGCAATGAATCGGACTCAAGGTGTCCATGCATTATTGAAAGACGCACAAACCTTGTCAAAGAGGGCCTTGCTGGGGATTAGAGGTGCATCGAGGTGCACCTCGGGGGTGCATGTATCGCGCCAATGGGTTACAGATGCTACCGCCTTCAATATTCTTCGGGGAAGTTCCGGTTGTTGCTCGAATTTAATAACACCGAGGGAACGATGGAGCTTCCTCTTCTTCCCCGTAAACTTCCGGTGGGGGATTTCACCGAGACTCGAAGAGGGGGTTGCAAAAATGGGAGCGTAAATGATATGCCGGGATCTGGAACGATATTAAATTTCGTCTAAGGCCTGAGAAATGATTCGACACCACCTACGTCACGGTGATTTATCAAAATGTATTAATTTGTTCGCTCGATCATTTTCTAAGATTAAATTAAGTTCATTCTAGACTTTGGTAAAACACGTGGGTTGTTCTAAAATAAGCTAAACCTCGCATTCAATTCAAGTACAGGTCGACGTGATTTAAGGACGATGCATATTACAAGTAATTTCGATATCGAGAAGGGAAAACGAGAAGATTCTCCTCAAGACTGGAAGGAAGTTTCGGAGAGTTTCGAGGATTCCTTGAGAATCCCAAGTCGAGAGATGATACCGCAACCTAATTATTAATTATATAACTGGGGCGCATAGCGAAACCGGTGTCCACGGCTCAGGTGGCAATAAGGTCGATCATCGAATAAAGAAAAGAGATCGGGAAGGGATTCTTCGTAAAGTCGAGGATCCTGGAAAAGTAAGGCAAACCTTGCCAATATTTCGAGCCGGATTAAACGTCGATTCGCACGCAAGGCGATCTCCTATTTATTCCCGAGCAAAAGGGAACCGCCGCTCGCACGTAAATATCCTCCTTTACATAAATTCTCCATCAGCCGTTAAAAGTTCGAGCCGTGAGAAATAAAAAGGGAGTAATAAATTCCCAAATGGAGGGCACATTTCCTCTCCGCGTAATCCCTCTTGCGAGCAGATATTAAAAATTCAAAAACAGGGGTAGAGCGTCTTCCCGGTTACGGCTTTACCGGGGCACGAGGCTCGGGGCGAGCGTCTCGATCGGCGCGATTTTCCCGCGCGGAGAGAACCGCGCGGAACGCGTCAGTCCAAGGGAAATGGATCGCCCATCACGGAGTAACCGCCTACTCGAATTCTGGCACGAGTCCACTTTTTGATCCGAAACATCAGTTTTCGGAAGGAAAGGTGGCCAGATTGTCCCGTCCCTTCCACTTCCGTTTCGCTCCACTTTCCGTCGCCGGAAGTTTCCCGAAACTATGATACTCCCCTCTGCCCGGTCTCTCTCCACATTCTTCCCTCTCCCTCCGCCTCCATTAAGCCCTAGGGAGCCTCTCCCGAGTTTATTCCTCTCCTTGCCGTTTTAACTCAACGAACGTCCCTACGAGGCGACGATAACGAGTCCTTTGAAACGAAGACAAATCAAGAATCCGGAACTCCGCGACTTCCCGCTGATTATTAAACGGATTACAAATTGGGACGTTATTTTTTTTTTTTTTTAATTTTTTTCACAAACGCAGCCGACTCTTCTAGGATACACTTCTCGGCTTGCCGAAACGTCTCCCCTGCGAGAAACCGGCCCCCAGAAATGAGGAAAAATTAAATACAAAAATAAAAGAAGGATTCTTTCCTAAAATATTCGCCAGATATTCACCATGGAGTATCTCCCTACGCCCCGAGCAAATACTTTCGACTTTTTCATGCCCTTTCGTGATTTTCCCATCCCTCACTCGAAAAAAAGGGAGAGGAAAGGCTGAATACCCTCCCGAGATGCGGGGATAAAAATGCGAATGGCCCCAGCCCCGAGTAATTGACAGATTTTTCCCTCCCTTTGCCGGGCACGCCGGAGTACGTGCCAGATATGTCCCGGAGCATGCCAATACGTGCCAATACCTCCCCGATGTGCCCGGGGTATGTGCATCGCCGTAGAAAAGGAGCGCCACTTCGCCGGGAAAGAGGGAAACGTTACAAGGGCGCTGGATTTTTCTGCAGCTTCCATTGAATCCGCGGATAACGAGGATAACGAGGATAACGAGGACGAGGGCGTTAAATTATTTACGGGCCCAGGAGAGTCGGATACATCGGGCCTCGCGATACT